AGAGTTGGAGAAATGAAGTCTGTGTATTGCTGGTGGCAGTGGGAATTGGTTTAAGAATAATATTTCTGGAGCTGATCTGACTACATACAGCAAAACTATTAAAAATGTTCATAGCCTTGAACCTAGGAATTATACTTCTAGAAACTTAAACCAACGAAATATATGTGATGTTTAAAGATCTTGCTTAAGGGATATGATCACATTTATCGCAAACACTTCAACCAAAATTTCCACTGCTAAGGAGATTTATTAAATATTTTATAATATATAAAAAGGTAGATTCTTTTGTACCCAATAAAGCAAGGTTGCAGATTTAAAGATGTACATGAAATACCACTACCTGAAAGAAGCAGATTTCAAGACAGTATGGTCTCACTTTTATAAGTATAAAAGGTATACATTGGTATACATTGGTATACAGAAAGAATAAATACGTAAAATATAAGAATATGTAACGATTAAATAAAGAATAAATACGTAAGATCATAGCCATGATTATCTACTAGATGGAATTACGAAGGAATTCTATTTCCTTCTTTTCATGAATCTGTATTCTCTCACTTTTCTACATTAAGCATGCATTACTTTGTAGTTTGTTTGTTTTTTTTTGCGGTACACGGGCCTCTCACTCTTGTGGCCTCTCCCGTTGCAGAGCTCAGGCTCCGGACGCGCAGGCTCAGCGGCCATGGCTCACGGGCCCAGCCGCTCCGCGGCATGTGGGATCTTCCCGGACTGGGGCACGAACCCGTGTCCCCTGCATCGGCAGGCAGACTCTCAACCACTGCGCCACCAGGGAAGCCCACTTTGTAATTTTTTAAAATAATTTTTAAACTAATGGTAACTAATATGTGTTTAACACCACCATCTACTCTGTGTTTGACTCATGGCAAATTCCTCAACCTACCTGTCTCCTGTAAAAGGAAGATAGTGCCATTCAAACTACAACACTGTTGAGGCCTAAATGGAGTGTGAAAACTCAGTCTATCACATAGTAGGCACTTATAAATGAACAGACTCTGACATCCAACCCTGTGTACCATCATTGTTGGCCATTCAGGTGTATACCCGTAAACCTGAAACACAGTGGAAATCCTTCATTAAACTGATATTGGTGGACAGACCGAATGTCATTCATTAACCATGTTATTCCATCATTTACTGTATATTTCACATTTTGAAGGCTTGAATAGGGTCTGTCTGGTTTACAAATGGTTTTTGTTCTAACCATACTTCCATGTGACCCATTTGGTAGGCGATGGTTTATCAAACTGAGCTTAAAATGCTTTTTTAATCTATAAGATAATGGAAATCTGTAAAATGTTTGCAATGGGGCAAAATGGTTTTGAACTGGTGATTAAACAAGAATCATTTAACAACAAATATTTATGTGGACATACAGGGCTTGAGGGAAGCAGTTTGATTAGAGATGAAAGATACGTGGAGACTTTTTTATTGGAGTAGAATTGCTTTACAATGTTGTGTTAGTTTCTGCTGTACAATGAAGGGAAGCAGCTGTATGTATACCTATATCCCCTCGCTCTTGGACCTCCCTCCCACTGCCTGCCCCGCCATCCCACCCATCTAGGTCGTCACAGAGCACCGAGCTGAGCTCCCTATGCTTCACAACAGATTCCCACTAGCTATCTATTTTACACATGGTAGTGTATTTATGTCAAAACTAATCTCCCAATTTGTCCCACCTTCCTCTTCCCACCACTGTGTCCACATGTCCATTCTTTATGTCTACGTCTCTATTCCATATATGTGGAATCTAGAATAATGGTACAGATGAACCTAAGTGGAGACTTTTGTAAAGAATCTAATGGGCGATTTCAAAGAGAGCCAGGCCAAACACAAAGAGATGAGACAGATTTGTAGTCTGCTCAGAAATGACAACTCTGACCACCTCAACTAAATGGGCCAACAAAGCCAACCGACAGTGCAAAAGATTTGCCATAAGGATACAAAAATAGCTCCCCAAATTCTCCCTGGTTTCTCATGGAGGCCAACCTCTAGTTTGGTGACTCATGCAGCACACGTGGGGCACAAGGTCACCGAAGCAAAGTAACCACTGGCTCCCTCCCTGCCTTCTGTACATTAGCTAGAGTGGAGCCATGTCAGCCCTAAAGGCCCACCTACTGCCATACAAGGGAACCCCTTTCAATGCCATAATTATCTGACAATTCATTCTATTTTTAGTGTCTTCATGCACTCATGTTTCACAAAAGGCTATCAATCACCGGCTCTAATTTTATGCTCATTAATCAAAATAAGGGCTGTGTTTTTGCTTAAAATGGATTAATGATTTCCCTGTGATAAATGAACAGGAATTGGAAGACAGAGGAAGAAGTGAGAGATGGCCTATAGTTGAAATAGTTAAAGTATGCATGATAAAAGAAGAGCAAGTTACAACATTTGGGCTCATGCCCCGGAAATGAAGGAAAGAAGACCAGACAAATATGAATACAGTGGATAAAGCTGGGACAGACAAAAGCGGAGGGGCTCTCCTTCTAGGAGGCTGATATTTCACTGTGTCAGACTTCAATCCTTCAGAAACCCAATGATTTATTTAGTAGGGTCTTGGAGAAACTGTTTTTATAGTATATGAACAACTTTATGTTCAAAATAAGACTTTTATTGTATGTGCTGAAAGACATAAATACATTTAGAAATGGCTTTCACTTTTTAGCTAGGTAATACATTAATTCCTCGATAAAGGTTGATATAGCTAACATGGATATATTTACAATGTCTTCCTTAAAGTATTTTGTAAAAAACTGTTGGGTTTACTTTTCTGAACATTTCATATCTACAAAATATTTCCTAATTTTCTCCAGTTCTTGAAGCCTCAGAACCTTCCAAGTCCACTTACCTCTTAATCCAATACTAGTTAAGAATATACTTTAAAATTGAACAGACTTAAGTTTGAGTTGTGGCTCTGCTTCTTACCAAGTGGAGCAAGTTACTTTGCCTCTCTGAGCCTCAGTGCTCATTTAAAATGGAGATAATGATAGTGTTCACCAATTTGGTTTGTTGAAAGGAGGACATGTGAAAGGGTGTGTCAAGTGTGCAGCTGTGGACCTGGCATCTCCCATGGCCTGGAAATATCACCATAGCCCTGGGCAGGATGGGTGTTGCAAAGGTGCTAAGCGTGCTCTTCTGTGCACAGGTAAAGCTGTCAGGCAGGCATTTCTGCCTCACCCAGTGCCTACCGAGCTGTGTTATAAAAAGGTCATAATTCAGTCGCAGTCTGGAGACTTAAGTGGAGAAGAGAAAGCTACCTGCAGTCCTGGACTATCCATATTCCTACCTTTCATAGTTTCACTTGGTGATAGTGGGATCTCTGTGTGAATAGATATTTTCATGGAAATACACGTTTAATGCACCCAAGTTGACAATCGGTTGGAGCTCACCTCTCAAGGTCATCTATCACTCTGCTTCTCATTTCCTAATAGTCATATTAGCCTTTTTCAGCTCCTTGAGTGTTCTACTTTCCTACCCCCTTACCTTCACACACAACATTATCTCCACATTTTCTTTCAATAGAAGCATAAAGCCAAAACTTAGGATATCTCAACTTCCTGCTTCTGCTGTCTTTCCGATAAGTTTTGTTTCATGAGTGTTGCTTACAAACTGCTCTATAAACACTGAAAGTTAAAATGAATTGTCCAGTGTAAATGCATAAGGCAAACAGAGCATATTATTTAAGGACACAACGAAATAGGGAAATGAAGGAAGTTGATCTATTTGTTGTCAGACATCAAATTCCCTCAGACTTATTCTTGGAAGCATTTTTCTTTTGGTTTAGTCTCACCTTTCAAATATGTCAGAGGAAAAATATTGATTTAGTGCACTGTCAAGGCATAAAATCTGATATGGAAGTCACTTCCTAAATTTATTTTCAGGGTACAGAATGGTCATCATGACTAAACAGACTGTATGCCTTAGGCCTTGGTAGGTTCCTCATTTTATTACATAGGGCATTTTCAACTTAAAAATGTTTGAAAATAAATATTATTTGAATAACATTATTCCATTCTTTTTTCACAAGCTTCTGCTGGGATGAGAGGAGATGTAGTCTAAGAAATTTGTATTTTGAGATGCAGAAATAAGAATTTCCTTAAATTTAACCAATTTGAGATTCCTCCCCATGTCCATGGAATTTATGGAAAAATGACAGCAAAAAAGACACAGTCTATGCTGGCCTTAGATTCTGTCTAGAGAAATATTGCAGAAACTTTTTAGACATTGCTCTCAGTTACACAACACTTTGTAATCTGTATGAGTTCAGGCATTTAATCAGCAAACCGTATTGTCCGTCTGCATGGTAGAGCCTGTTCTTGATATGTGCTGCAAGGAACAAGGCCCTTCCTGACCCAGCTACTTCTCCAGGCCCTCAACTCCAGACATGGTCAGCCCTCTGTGAGTCCTCAACTCCAGACATGCTGTCTTCCAGCTCTGCATGGCATATTGCCACTGGGATGCCCAGGAAGTTGAACCCCTAGCACCTTGTACATTCCTCTGGTAGAGTACTTACTGCTTTGGGCTGTACATTTAAGTCCATTCCCCATGTAGACACTAATCAGATGCATGCCAGAGGCTCTATAGATATTTGTTGCATGTGAAAGGATTGTGACCAATCTTGGAAATTAAAAATAATTTTAAAATAAGGTATTTGGAGCTTAGTCAATTAATACTTTATCAACAACTCACAAGTAATATAGACTCAGAGGGTCTATTATAACTAGAAGTACTTTAGAAATTAGCTGGTTTAAACTGATCCTCGGGCACAAATCCCATACGTAACAAAGCTGCCTTTCCCCCAGAGGCGACTGTGATTTGGACAGCTCTCCTGCAGGGGTTGTGGCATGGAAGTTTGCAGACAGACACTACTTCTCTGGATTCCAATCCTAGAATGTTTATGCCTGAAGGAGCCTGTCAAATCTTTTGTTTCAAATCCCTCATCTTACAGGTAAAAAAAGTCAAACCAGAAAGATTACCTGAATGCAGTGACTGAGTGGTAGAGCGTCATGGGAAACAAGTCTTTTTGGCTTCCAGTCCAGTGCTGCTTTATTTCATACAAACCTCTCCTGTGTTTGGTTATATCCATAAAGACGACATGGATGGTAGATCATAGCCATTATCTATGTATTAACTTTCCCACAGTTACTGGAGGGAGAGTTCTCAAATTTGTCCCTGATTCCAGGTTCCAGTTCTACCTTTTAGGCTTCTGTTGACAGAAGAGGTTGGTGAAGAAGGATCTTGTGTCCCATTTTAATACCAACAAACAGGAGTCAACAACTTCCAGCCTGAGCCTGGCTGCACGCGTCCTATCCTCCTCCCTGAAGTCTTTGAAAATCGCTGCCCATTCCAATGCCTAGAAGCTCACAGACAAGGAGAGCTGTTTCTCCGAATTTACTGGAATGTTGAGCCCCTCAGGCGCTGCTGCAATCATGCAGTCCTGGTTCCTCTGTGCGAGTGAGCAGTGAAAACCCTGCTCCTCTGAGCTGCTTGTTAGAGAAGTTACCTCTATTGCGTGCATGGCTGAGCAAGGTTGCTGGGTCTTGTCAATTCCTTGAGAAGCAGTCAACCAAGGCATCTCCCAGTTAGCACAGTCCCAAGCCACCTGTACTCGGGGAAGAGAGGGCCACCCCAGGCATCACTGCAAACTTGTTGCTGTCACTGGCAGCCTCACCTTACTGGTGCGCAAGATGCCCTGGAGTGTGAGATGAAGCAGGAGGGATTCCAAAGACGACTTACTTTCAGGCTCAGTTAAACCATATGTCATGCCTTGTTGCCTAGTTTATAAAGAAGCATTTATCAATTCTAAAGTTTCAATTAATAAAATGCAAACTATTAGCGATTTTCCACGAACCGAGCTGCCTATGGCAGATTTTAGCCGGCGGCTAATACTCGGCTTGACGATGAGCTTGGAGTGCCGCCTAGTGGGAACGATGCGTGGTAGCACTTGATAGCCTCGCATTCTGCGGAGGAAAAAACTATCAGGCGATGTCAGAGAGGCTACAAATTGAAGATCTCTGTCTGGCTGTTGTTTTACGGGTTTGTCAGACCTAAAGGAGATCCATCCCAAGGAGATTTATCTTGAGAGACTATCTCATCTAAGAAAATGTACTACCCGAATGAGTGAGCTCATCCCAGCTAGATCTCAAATAGCCTACAGAGGAATGTATTTCATTTACTATAGAATTTTTGGTGAATTTTTACCTTTACCTTCATAAAGTAAGAACATAAAATTTACCCTTGCCTTACCCATTTTTATATCTGAAATGCTAAAAGTCATGATCAACTATTTTTTAGTTGTAATAAACTTTGCAATGTATCCATTTCTATTAGTTTACCTATTTTTCACTTAGGTTGCCAACTACACAAGGTTGAAAGGTGCCTGTCTCTATACATTTTTAATAATTCTACTCCCAATATCACCCTTTTCATTTTTTCACATTCTCTTTATTCCTTTATCAAAACTTTTCTTGTGTTTTAATTCCTTTTACGGCTAGTTTTCTAAAAGTGGTATGTTTGAAAACTTTTTGTCACCTTATTTTGAAAAAAATAAAATTCTTCCTCTTTTCTCCATATCTTCCGTTTGAGGGAGAGGTTGATTTTTGAAGAGAAGTGGCTTTGCTCAAATAATTAAAAGATGGAAAGCTGCTTCTTGGAAATAGGAATTTTTCCATTCTGTCAAAATATGTCATAGAAGCTAAAAAAGAACCTCCTGGATTTTCCATGTATCCTGTTCCTTCCTCAGTTGCAATTTCCACTAACTAGCTATTAGCCAGTCCTCTTCCACTCCACCCTCTTCTCTCTACAGCTGCAGTTTGCTGACTCCAAACTCTGACTCTTGTACAGGTTACCCTCTGCACTCCAGCCCTGAAATCATCAATGCGCACTAAACATCTCAGTGTTGATGTCCAAAACCAAACTGATCCCCTTCCTCCTACCCAGGTCTGATCCACCTTCTGATATCCCTATTTCATAGAAAATGGCACAACCATCTGCTGAGCCTCTCAAACCAGTACTTGAGGGTATCTATGACCCCTCATCTAAACCCCATTGCGGTGCTCTCAGTTTACACCTCTCAGTGGGTCTTTCTGTGTTCACTTCACCTGTCTCCAATCTAGTCTTTATTTTTGTGGTAGACTGGACTTTGTAAAATTACAAGCTCATTAACACTTAAAAATCCTTCCTTGACTCCCCAGTACCTTCAGCATAAATCCAAATCCTATACTAGGATATTTGAGACCTTCATCACCTGGCTCCTATCAGCCTCATCTCTCCCCACCCTCTGTCTTACACCCAGTGTTCTGGCCATCCTAGACCCCAGCATAATCTTTCACAATGCCCTGCCTTAGCCACTGCCCGCCAGCTCCTTGGACTAGACACTTCAGTCCTCAACTCAAGCAACAGCTTGTCCAGAAGACCAGCCTAAGGCATCCAAGCAACAATGGAACACTTATCACATTGCATAGGCTCAGCGGCCATGGCTCATGGGCACAGCCACTCTGCGGCATGTGGGATCCTCCCGGACCGGGGCACGAACCCGTGTTCCCTGCATCAGCAGGCGGACTCTCAACCACTGTCCCACCAGGGAAGCCCTGCACTGTCTTTTGATGTGCCAGCCCTCCCCCAACCAGGAATAGTGGTTAGGGCAGGAATGAGGTTACCCATTTTTGAAAACTTAATGCCCTAGAGAGTAGTTGTTTTACTTATTGGAGAAGTTGTGAACAAGATGACAATGGAGAACCTTTGTGACTTCTCGTGTGCCAGGCACAACATGGATGTTACCTGTATGGTTATATTTAATCCTAATTTTGATCTTATAAAGATATTAAATATTTATTTTACACATGAAGAAAACAAAGGTCAACAAAGTTAAATTATCTAAGGTGACTGCGGTGGAAGCTATAATGTACCTCCCACATCCCCTTCAAGATATTACTGACTTTCTCATCTCCTTGAAATGTTGTCTGTGGCAGTCTTCTTCGTGCCAAGACTATACCTTGTATCAAGGCAGCCACATTCAATAACCGATCACTATGGGGGATTGCCTCCACTCAGATACCACTTCTTATTGTCTCACAGGGTTAGCTAAGGCCTCCGTTTAGATTGCATTGCAGCTCAGCTTCTCCTTCTATCTAATCCTTTCCTTCGGTATTGATGCCAAAAGTACCCCTTATTAAACTTCCTGTGTTCTTTTCCATCTCAGAGTCAGCTTCTCAGGGAACCTGGCTGGTAATAGTCATGCAGCTAGTAAATGATGGAGCCAACACCTGGACCAGATCAGCAGCCTACAGCAGGAGCTGTGCTCGTGATCCATTAGACTACACCACCTCCTACGATAAACAAGCCTTACTTATCTTTGTATCCCTGGTACTAAGCATAGGTACTCAACAAATCGTTGTCAATTCACCTTTTTATCTGTTCTTTTGGCTTGGTTGGTTAGGGTTATTTGTTGACAGTTCTTGCCCTCAGGAACCTCACCATCTAGTCTATTGCCACAGAGGGGCGGGCAAATTATATTCTAAAGTTCATGATTTTAGGATCAGGTCAATAAATGATCAATTTAATTGCTTCAAACAGTACAAAAATGCTCTAATTTTAGACTTTGTTTTATTTATCAATGCTTTTAGAAACTCAAAAATTTAGCAATTATATTTCTACCCCTTAAATACAAGCCTGATCCAAGTCTTATTGATGTTATTTTAGTAAATACCTTTAAGGCCATTAAAAAGCGAAACATTTTAAGAGAAGGAGAGAGAAGAACTCACAGGCACGTAATGACCCTTGGGTCTACCAGGAGTGTTCATGTCACACATTTAGCTCTCCTGCACTTTACAGTCTGCTCTGATTGACTTCAAGCATTGTAGTCATCTGAAACCTTTAGCTATGGCAGAATGCTCCAGATCCTGTCAACAAACATCTTCAGGAAAGAAATCAGAGTAAAAACAACTCAAATTCCTTTGAACCTTAGTTTTTTTCCTTTTTTAAAAAACTTTCATTGGAGTATAGGTGTTTTACAATGTTGTGTTAGTTTCTGCTGTACAGCAAAGTGAATCAGTTATACATATATCCACTCTTTTTTAGATTTCCTTCCCATTTAGGTCACCAGAGAGCACTGAGTAGAGTTCCCTGTGCCATACAGTAGGTTCTCATTTATGTTAATCACAATCTCCCAATTTGAACCTTAGTTTTAAAACATGATCTTGAACTTGTCTATCTTGACTAAGAACTACAAATGGGCTAACTTTTCCAATAGGGACGGAGGGGATCCTGTTAGTAGCTCAATCTTTTCGGCTGAAGTTTGCTTTCTTTCTCTGCCAAAAGCATAATAGTTCTTTAAAATAAAAAATTAAAACTCTGTCAGAAAAACAAATAAACAATTAACTAATTAATTAGAAATGCAACCAATCTGGCCCAGTTTCTCAGGAGTTTATTACACAGTTTTAGGCTTATGTAATTTTGCATTGTCCAAAGTAAAATAACCTTCTAGGAGAAATACCAGTATGACGCACTCACCCTTTTCACAGTCTGGATTTCTACAGCCAAGGAAAGACAAGGAATGGTCCTTTCTTAGGTTCTACTGGTCTGGAACTATTTTCTTAAGGATTTTATGCCTGTGTCATCTTGTGAGAGAAGCAGTGGTATCAGCAGAAGTACAGAGAAGAGGTTAAGTATATAGGTATTGAACTAAAGGAGAACTGAATTCAAATTCTTAGTCTTAATTTAGCAATTGTGTGTCCTCAGGAAGTTGCTTCATCTCTTTGAGCCACTTTCAAGCTTATTATTAATGACTACTTATATTAATTAATTAATATCTAATTCATAGCTATGTTTTACAAACTAATGAAATATTGAATAAGAATTTTGCACTCAGTTGGCATAGAGATAGCACATGACAGATGGTGATAATTGTTACCTAACATGTCTCTGTTGCTTTGAGAATTGACAAGGGGAGGAAGAAAGTATTTATTAAGCATTAATTTTGTACCAGGTACTGTACTAGTTTTACATACATATTCCCATTTAATTCTCATGATAATCCAGTGATATCAAGGATAATGTTCCTATTATATCATAGAAGAACTTCATCCTCAGAGAAATTAAGAAACTTTCCCAAGTTCACAGAGCTAGACTGTGACCTACCTAAGAGCAGCATCTGTGTCTTGCTTAAATTCACAATATCTATCATCAAGTAGTCTTTTGTGAAAAAATATATGAACAAATGAATAATTTGGGAATGCATAAACTAAATGCAAGCCTTATTTCCCATGTAGTGCAGACTGTGCATACGTCACAGTCAAGGAAACAGGAGTCTTACTGAAATTTTAACAAATCATGTAGACTGTTATTATGCATTCATAAAAGGTACTGAGAGTGGTACACACCACTTTATGCAGAATATTTTGTTTTATACAACATACTTTATTTCCAGGTACTTAAGGAAATCTGTATCCAGTTATTAG